AATGCCATAATATCTTTTGAGGGAAGTTCTCACAGAATCACAGAATGTTAGAGATTGGAAGGGACCTTGAAAGATCATCTAGTCCAATCCCCCTGCCGGAGCAGGAACACCTAGATCAGATCACACAGGAACGCATCCAGGCGGCCTTTGAATGTCTCCAGAGAAGGAGACTCCACAACCTCTCTGGGCAGCCTGTTCCAGTGCTCTGTCACCCTCACCGTGAAGAAGTTTTTTCTCATATTCAAGTGGAACCTCCTATGTTCCAGCTTGAACCCGTTGCCCCTTGTCCTATCACTGGATGTCACAGAGAAGAGCCTGGCTCCATCCTCCTGACACTCACCCTTTACATATTTATAAACATTGATTAGGTCACCCCTCAGTCTCCTCTTTTCCAAGCCAGAGAGACCCAGCTCCCTCAGCCTTTCCTCATAAGGGAGATGCTCTCACTCTTCCTTCTGCCTTTTGTATATTTTTTGAGTGATATCAAGGCTGACAGATGAATATTTATTGTTGGCAAATCCAACAAACTTCAGCAAAACAATAAACTTCAACAAAAAGCTCGCATGAATTCTGCACTTGGGTTAGGTTTAGCAATTATTAATAACGTATTATGTTTAAGAAATGCTGTTTCTAGCTCAAGAAATGTTAAATACAGGAAATGATCCAGCATCTGAGACTGTCAGCTGGCTCACTACTGGAAATTACTATTCTGAAGAGTTCAGACATCATTAAAGGGGAGAATAATACAGCACAGTCATGTTCTTTCCCTTTCTTTTTCTCCTGTCCTCTATATTAAATAAAAAATCAGAGAAGGATATGACCTCACAGGCAACCTACTTTCCTCTTCTGCCAATTCAGACTCATTCTTTATGATAGTACCCATTTCTGAGAGCTTTTCAAAGCCTGTCATTAAAATATTCAGATGGTTTTCCCTTTGTTAATTTTGATATATTATTTTACAGCCTAACAGCTCCCTGTTAGTAAGGTTTTCCTGATAGTCAGCCTGACGCTCTCTCTCATAATTCATTCCCTTAACTGTAAATTTCTTTATTCAGATGCAGTTCTATTTATGCCACATCAGACTGCACTGTTATTCTGTTATTATAAGGTTATGTTTTGAGCTAAAGTCTAATTTTTTTCTTTCAACTATTTCTCTTACTGAAAGGCAAAATCTTATACTGAAGTGAATACCTGCAGTGCAACTTATTTTTGCCCCAAAATACCTTTTCGCAAATTTCTGAAGCTTATCTTATTTTCTGTGTGTTTTCATAAGCCTTCATAAAAAAGAAACAAGTCTTTTTGTTTTCCTTGATATTTATACTGTCTACTTATTCACTACTATCCCTGAAGATTATTAAGGATACTTTCTCTTCCAGACTAGTGAAGATATTAAGAAAATACAGAACTCTACACTATAGAAAAAATACTGGAATAGGACAACCTGTCCTCTTCACTACTCTTTACTACCTTGAGTTTACTTGGCTAATTCCTCCTCTCCCTGTAAGCCATTTCTATCAAAACTATTTAAAAACTATTATTTAAATAATTCTTGTAGAATTATATTTATCTTCCTAATATATGCTAGTTGTAAGTCTGGGACTACTACTTAGTCTTAGTTCAACACTTCTCTTGAGGTTATACTATGTCGCAGCATTTTTCCATTTTACTATAACATCAAATTAGACTTCAATGTTAAGTATTGCAGTTATGGCATGACATTTACACAGTCACCTTTTCCCTCACTTTCCACATTTTCTGTTGAGTTGTTAAATGTAATTGACAACAGCATTTGAAAATTCACACCTACAAATTAAACTTTTCTTTTTATTTAAGGCAAAGCCTTATCACTGAAAAAAAAAATAAAAATAAAAGTGCTATTTTTCTGTCACTGCAACTGCACATAGAGCTTGCCAGCTCTAGAAGGAATGATCAAAATGAATCAAATGTCTAAAATTCGATATGTTTAAGGCACAATTCTTCCTTGAAACCACAGTAATTCATAGTTACTCATGGTTCATCCAAGTTGCACACTCTATACTGACCCAGACTGACTCTGACGGCCAGAACTGGTTTGGACGCAATGCTCTGCAAACACGCGGACAAGGCTACATTCAAAGTTGCACCTCGCCCAACGAGCCCCCCTGGAATGGAGGCACACAATATAAAACCAGCTGAATGGATATGAGCCAGTTTAATGGGAAAAAGACTACCTGGGCTGACTCCACAGAGTGGCGCTTTTTTATCTCCATGCCTTCACTTTTAACAGGCCTCACCACACCTGTATTACCAGTATCCAAACCCCCATTATTGCAACAGGAGAAAGTTCATTGATACTGAACTGGTGATAAAATTAAGTAAATAAACCATGCAATGCTAATAATTCTCTCCTTCCCCCATTCTTTGTGTCTTATTATCCCATTTCTTCTTATAGGAAAACCACAGGAAGAATATGTACTTGATTCAGTACGTACTTCATCACTGCACTGGGAGTCTTACGTCAAGTTCTCTGATGTGCAGTTGAATGGACTTTATCTGCACTGGGACTGCCACTGTCAGAAACAGAACAGTGGGGTGTCATTTACTGTAATGCTGACAACTGAACAAGTTCTAAGAGATAAGAAGTACTTCTTTCCAGCCCCATTCCTCTGATCCTAAATCTAAGGAAAAAAAATGTCCTAATATAATGAAATAAGAGTAGATGGAATTAAATCAAAAAATGTTTTGCGAACACTTACAGTCCATAAATCTGTGGAGCAATTTCCAGTCGGTTCAGATGCATGTACAGCTCAATATCATGTTTCTTCAGCAGATGATCCTGAATTTGGTTTACCTTCGCTACAATAGCAATAGATGGGCCTAAGTCCTGTGGCCTTGCAAATGGCATAGGTGTAATCATCACATCCTTCTCCTGCAGGCACAGAAAACAGAGGGGGAAAAAAAAAAAACCAAATCAACCCACGAAGCCTTACTGTGTAAAGGGATTGTCTACAAGAGATTTGTTGTGATCATAGGCTTCCAAATAAACACAAAAATATTAATAACTTGTTTCTTTTCCAGCAAAAGAGGAATCTCAAATATCCACTTCTGTGGAAGGTATTGTGGGATTCCCCTTCCCAGGAGTGACAAGGTTCATCTCCTCATTCTTCATGTCAATTTTTATGTGCGTGCTTTACTTTTCATGCTCTGTCAAAGTGTTGACAGCTTTATTTTACCTTCAATATCAGCAGTCCGAGTCAGTCCAGAGCAAAGCAGATGAATGGTAACCCAGCTGAGAATATATGCCCACAGAGGACAATAAATTGTATACCAAACAGGAAATAACTTATTTTTTAATAACCCTTTCTAAACAGGCTTCTGTCGCTCAGAAAATCTGGTGGCTGTACCTCAAAATCTATACAACTTTGATGAAGCATCAGAAAACTTCTTTTTATTTTAAAAGAAATAGAGCAGTGAGATGAACCTGGAGGTTAGGAGGTGGACCTAAAGGTTGTTCAAACTATGTAATGATCTAGAACATGACTCACATCAAGTGAAAAAAAAGAGGAAGAAAACTACTGGAGTATTAGCATCCTTAAACCTGACACACCTTTAAATTTGCTCTTCTTGCAAAAGAGTGAAGTATTATTGACAGAGACAGAATGCTAGAAAGAAATGCAGCAAGTGATGAATGATGAACCCCACTGAATAGGAAACGTAAAAAGGAGGATGAGAAATAAAAAAGTAAAATCTATAAAATGAAAGATTGGGGAAAGAGAAATGGAGAATTAAGCTGTCAGGAACAATGTTAAAGTTATAAAAGAGGGAAAACTGAAACAGTAAGAAGAAAAGATTTTGCAATGACTTTGTTGGAATCTGTCATCATGGCTCTTTGACCTGAAAGCTTCACTTTAAAAAATAGTTATTGTTTTTCTACCCTTTTGCTTGGTATATTGACAGAGAAGCATTATCAAGGTCAAAGGGTTGATAATTTCAGAAGACGTCATTACAGCTTGAACTGTTGAAAGACTAATTCACTTGGTTTAATACAGTGAAAATCACATTATTATTAACATTCAACAATGAAGAAAGGCTTTTTTTGTTGTATGAACTATCCCCAAGGTTGTTTCCTATGGTTATAGTCCTTCTTCCACCCCATTCTCTCTGTATCAGCATTTTAAGAGGAAGAAACAGAAGTACCCATATTTCACAATCCTTTACAACATGGTTTAACATGCAAGTGGGCAGTGAACATTTAATAATTTCTCCCAAAAAACCTGTTTTTCATGTTGATTTCCTTTGCTTGAGATATTTTTTCCCATTTTACCCTATTTTCATACTGCAAAAAATAAGGTATGATGCCTAGCAGTGATTTCAGGTAAAATGCTTATATTTAAAGATCTGATTGATTATAAATTGTATCTTAAAATCTGCTTAACTGTTGCTTGGATATGGCAATTATAGCAAAGGCACTGATCTGTCTATTACAGTGCAGTGGTTTTGCCATGCTGTTGTAATACCAAGACATATTCATTTAAGATGCTCTAGCAAATCCCTTGATAAAAGCTCCCTCAGTTGGTCAAATAAAGCTCACTGAAATGGCATCCTTTTACTCAAAACTTTACCAAACATCTTAGCATCTGATAGGAGCTAACAAAAATTGTTGCTACTTACTTAAATACTGCAGTTCTTCACAGCTGCAGGTACATTGAGAAAGGATGTTTCTCCTACCTTCTTTTTAAGTAATTCTATTAACTTCTCTATTATCAAATTGGGCAGCCTTCTTTTTACCCTAATTTTTCTTTCTTCATTGTATGGCTATTTCCTATTGCTGTTTCAGACCCATTTAATTATTTTCTTGGTCACATGCTAGAATGCAAAATACTGAAAAAGGGTCTCCACTAATCTTCCAATCTATACAGAATAATAAAGTATAATATGATAACATTGCCTTAATGTTAAATGCCAGTCTATAGTAATTTTTTGCATAAACATACCAGTTTATCTTTGAAACTAATCATAAAAGTCTGTAACTGTATGTATTCATACACTGTGCACGTTCCAGGAGTTGGCACATTTTTGGGCTATGAACTTTATTCTGGTTTATTCAAGTTGAGTTTAACTTCAGCTTGACCGCTGCATATACTCATAACTCTGATGACTCAAAAGATCTGCATTTTTAAGCTTTTCTTGATTCCTGTACATAGATTCTTGTACAGAAATTTCAACATTAGAATCTTTCTACTTAGTTGTACTTGCAATATGAGAAGACCAGCTAGTTACCCAGATTAGCCTTTATGTCATTAGTTGTCTGTTACAAAATTAGAAGACAGACTCTTAAACACTGGCTTGAGTGTCAAAAGATTCTGAATATCAAAACTAACGCATGCTTGCTCTTACAGAGGAATGACAAAAACTGAGTTATTTGTCAGTTGCAGCATTTGTGCACCTTGGCATAATGCAGCACTGACACATTGCTGACTGACAGACTGACTGACTATCAGCATGGCTAAGTGCATCAAATAATACATGCTGGCTTGCCGTTTTTAAAAGCATGAGGTAAGTAAATTGTATCCATCAAAATGCAGTTCACCAGGATCCCAGAAATTAACCCCAAGAACAGAAATCTTCAAAGCACGACAGAATCTGTGGGGACAGCAGTTGCAATCAATAATCAATGCCTTGACTGTTCATGCCTCCTGATTTGGTGCACTCCACCAAGCTCACTGGATGACTAGAGCACATATGACGTCTCCTCTCATGCAACTTCATTGAGAAAAGGACAATACATTTAGTCAGTTGAAATGGCTCCAAAAAATCGCATCAGCTGGCATGAAAGAAACAGCCCAAACAGAAAGATGCTCAAATAAACTAATACAACCAAACCGCCAAAATGTTTAACAAGAATCACTCGCAGCACCTGTGCCTAAAGCACAGAAGGCAAGTGGACAACAGGATACAGTGCCCTGGCCCATACTCACTATATATTGTTACCTCATGAGACAAAACATCTGTTTTCTTTTTGTGAGCTTCAAAGTCTTGGAAAAGATTTGAGTGCATAGGTTTAGTAATCTATTGCTAACACGAAATGTAAATGATCAATCCCAAAGGGATGCGGTTCCCAATTAAAAGACAAAAAGAGGGACAGCTCTTAGATTTGCTATATGGTTTACAGGAGAGCACCAGGTTCATCTCTCAGAACAGTTTAAATATCAATATCAGTGAAATGCACCTGAAAAATTCAGATGAAGTATTAGGAACAGAGTCACCAAAACCTGCCACGAAACATTACGTACCACAAGACAAACTGGAATGGCTGGCAGTCAATACTAACACAATTTATATATTCATGCATTTAGCAAACAAATGCTGCAGCAGTAAAGAAAGGCCAGGACATAGTACAAGTATAAACCGTGGACAGATTTCTCTCATTAACCACTATGGAATGGAGTAGCTGGTGAAGCTCCTCTAATGGCAATTGGGAGTAATGGAACCAACTGTTAGAGGCTATAAAATGTAACATGTCTCTCAGAGCACATGCTTTCATTGCTTCCTTTGTGAAGATTCAGACTTTATTATGTAGCTAACCCTCAAAGTCATGATTGTAAAAGGCATATGTACAAGAAAGGATTATTAAAGATTATACATGTTTGCAAAGAACAAGAACAAACAACTAGATATTAATCCATGCGCTTTGCATTGTTAATTTTTTATGCCACGAAAGGGCTGGAAAGGGCAGTGTAAACTTTCACCTTCTACCCGAGCACTGCAATCTGTAAGCAGACCTAGTTATTTCTCAGAACAGAAATTCAACCTCAGACTTTACCACCTCTGTCACAGAAATTAGAACAAATACGTTTGAATACACTGAATTCTGAAAAGCTACACTCAGAGAAACATATCTCACAGCTTTGTTGCTGGAATAAAAGTGACTATGTAATAAGTTAATTAAATTTGTATCTCATGCTTTATTCTTATACTGAGAACTATGTAAAAACCCAAAGCCAAATAGTAATTTATTACTGTTGATAGCTTAGGCCAAGATGCCAGTGCTCCATGTCTAATAAAATATATACAAAGATACACTCAAATATTTAAAGAGAATAGAAGCTTTTATGGGAGTCTTGGGTGAACATCTTTTTCTTCAACAGGCAAGCCAAACCATCTCTCAGACTAGTACCTCCTAATTACAGCTTGCAAATACAGGTTTTGGTGCACACATATGGGCATCCAAAACCAATCAAATTAACCAAATTCCTATTTTTTTTTAATTCTAGAAGCTCACCCCATGGTCTAGGTGAAAAATGCTGAAGTGAACCAAGTTGGAACTGAGTTTGAAGGGCAATTCTTTTAGGATATAATACACTGAAAGTTTTGGCAATATCTGTAATATGGCTATGTTTTGCTAGAGCCTTCTACAGACACTCCATCAAATAATTTTTCAGAATTTTAAAAAAGAGAGAATGTTTTTTAAAGAGACAGGCAAAAAGTAATCAAAGAATATCTTGAGCAATTGACTGAGGGCACTGTCCCCATGCCATGCATGAAAAATGGTTACAGGCAAGGACTAGATGGTCCCTAGAAGGTCCCTGCAAAGAAGAGTTCTCTATAACTAAACTCAGGACACAGGAAAAGCTTTTCTATGAAAAGAAGCAACATACTAAATACAGCGCTGTCTGCATGGCTGCACAGGAGAGCTGAGGGCATAGAAATTCCCTGTGTTTGAATACCCTGAGGTCAAGAATGAAAAAAAAAAGCAAGGAAATGGAGTGATTAAGTCAAGGAAAGATGGACCCTGACCTTTGATGGACAGTCTACGAGTAAAGTTTTGGTTTCATGGTAAATTGTTTATATTGGAAACTGTTAAAAACAATTCAAGCCTCAATAGGTCAAACACTGCCTATATGCATTTATTTAACATAACATTTGCACAGGTTTTCAGCACATAGATGTGCATATGACAGCCATTCTTTCGAATGCTACACAAGAACAACACTCATACACAGGAGAATCTGTGTTTGCACATTTGGCTGTGAAAGTGAACTTTCAACAGATAGGAACTCTCACCTCAAAGACTTTCCACACATGCTTATGAACAAATTCTGAAGAACCTCTAAAAAATGTAAACTCAGTTGAGCCTGCTTTAACCAAGTTGTTCAAGAGAAAATGCCTTATTAGCTTCAAATTACTTCAATCATATTAAAAATGCATTTGCTTAAATATACAATAAATACATTTTAGAGCAATATTTACCTTCTGACTGTCATGTTCAAAAGTTGAAAACCAATGTTCTGCAGTTTTCATAAGACATGTGAACATTGCACTGAAGGAGAAAAATCCAGAAACTTGGAGTTAAATAATGTATTACAAATAAGAGCAAATTAAATGTAAAGGAAGTTGTTAAAACTTACTAGGCATCATGTTCCAGATATTCAGGATTCAAAAGAACTTTCATTTCCTCACTGAAAAAGGCAACAGTGAACAATCCAAATGTGAATGTTTATTTTTGGTCAGCGTTCTGCATGTACTATTATGTATTTATAAGCCAACTTTCATATAAAGTGCAAATGAGAAAACTATCCTTTTTAATTAAAAAGAGCAACTCCATTGAACAAATGAAGTCTTTCCTTTTTATAAAGATCAAAACCAAATTAGCTGCCTTGTCTGCACTACAATGAAGTAACCATCTAATTATTCCAAATAACAAATTACTGAATGTCACAATGTATTATTTGAATATGCTTGATCTAGAATAATTGATTGCTGCACAATCTATCACTGTTTGTCCCAAACAAAAAAAAGTATGGTTACTGGTCAAATATGCAGTATCAAAACATTAATTTATTTTGTTTTAATAGCCTGTATTTTTATTGTACTTTAACAGCAATTAATCAGTGACAGCACCTCTTTTCCATCTACTTTGCTGCTTAGCTCTACTTTTTCAGTGGGGATGGAACAGAATGCTGTGCATAACACATGGTTATTTTAAGTTACTTAGCACTGAAGAGCATCTTCTAGGTAATTTCAGGATATCTAAGAAGGACAGATATTGCATAAAAACACACACTTGTAAATAATCTCCGTCTTTATGCTTAACTGGCTTTGCACAATCACGTTGGGGGGTGCTAACAGAGGTTATGTTATATAGCACACACTATTAAATTGGCTTTTATTCACTGCTGGGCTCCAAAAGAGAGTGCAAAAAGACAAATGAAAATAAATGACCAAACTATCACAAGTGATACAAGAAGTCAACTAGGTTTTTTTGTTTGTTTGTTTTTAAAAGCTTCTAGGGCGAGAAAAAAAGCATCTGAATTTGGTTGACAGCCAGTGATGTGTGATGTAATATTTTATATACACGTGTATGATTACATGCACACACAAATGGAGAATCAATAGCTAAACTTAATGTTACAACCAAGTCAAAGGATAGTCAGATAACACTGCAGGTGATGAAAGAAATATCAGTCACAACAATATGTCTACACTGATTTTTTTCTCTTTTAAGATATGAGGAAATAGAGTTGGCAATACGTTCATTCAGTGACTGCGGTTCTCTAAACTGCCTCCTCTCTGCAATGACAAAACGTAGTGGGTTAGCCCCAAAACCACTTCTGGCAATAAGAATGAGGCGAAATGGTAGGCAGGTATGCAAGCTTTTTGATTGAGGTGTTTTTTTCTTTTTTTGCCAGCTAATATCTGTGAAGGGGCCAGCGTCTACACTTTTAATCCCTCTTTCAGAAGCTGCAGTAGGGAAGATGAAATAAGGACATTCCCACCAAAACACAAAAATGCAACAATTTCTGATATCAATTTATCAATTATAAACAAAGAATTAGGGAACACATATTTACAAGTTCTAGTGTAGATGATTTATTTATTTTTTAAGAAAGCAGGTTTTTTTAATACTATATAAATAAAACACAGTGCTTGCCTTGGTTGTGCAGCTTCACTTGCATGTGAAAAAGCTTGGTGGTCACAATGCAGGATAAAGACAATGGGAGCTAAAAGTTCATGCATACCCTAAACATAAAAAGAAGCAAAAATACAGTAAGATTTTCCAGTCATATAATAGCTCCTAATGCATAGCAACCAGCAATATTAGGTACAGTCTAGCTAAAAGCATGAACATTTACATTCTTAACATAATGGTTTCATAATCAATGGCTTTTATCTTAAAATCTGATTAAATCCATATGTTTATTCTTCTACAATATACAGAAGCAAGTAATTCTCCCTTTTTCTAATACAACAGACAACAAATTTGCAATGGCAGGCACTCTGTACCTGGCAGTTTAGTCCAAGATCTATGTTCACAAATATGAATTTTATTAATGATAATTACATTCATGATCCACAACACAAAGATCTGCAATAGGGAAAAATTACAAAATTTAAAATTATTTTTTCTTTGATAATGTCCCAAAACCATAGATAAAAGCATAACAGTAGCCTTCAGAGGAGAAAAGGGCAGCTATTTCTGAAATAAGAAAATGAAACTTCTATTCCTATGGACATGAAAAGTAAAATGAGTTTTTTTCTTTTTTTTTTTAAAGTTGTTATGTTATTATTAAAAATAAACTCATTACAACACAGTGCATAGGAGACCAGGTAGTGTTCTATTGCAATTACTTACATATGCAATCTATATTAAGACTGAGAAAAAATACAGAAACATACAGAAAGGAGAACAGAAAAAATTGGTGGACAGACAATGACTTGGACAAGCATCAGAAGCATGGTTAGGCACCCAGGCCAGCTATCAGTGCTTTTTCCTAGAGCTCACCAGGAACTAAAAAGGAGTCTTGGTTTGCCTTGATTCACCTGGGGCTTGTCAAATTGTTATCAGGAGCAGAAGCAATTGCTTCAGGAAACAAACAATCCAGTTGGCAAGCAGCAATGCACTGGCACGTAAAACTACAGCCTGCAGAATGAAACCTCATCTTCAGCAGATATTCAGCCCCTTCCCTCAGATTAGATCAAGGAAAAGGAGGATTTAGGGCACCGTAACTGAGGAATTCGGTTATGCCAGGGACTTGGGCTCCCAGTGTTGGAACTGTGCAAGCTACAGGTTGTGGTGGGAGTCAGCCATTCAAAAGCAGTAAGGGGAGCCCTTCGGTGATGGAAGGGATGTCGGACGAAGGGTTAGATCTGCCTGGCTGCCTCTGGACATGGGGATCACTCCAAGGGCAGGCAACTCCTGACTTCATCCTGAGAACACCAACTACAGCCAGGGCTAGGTGCCAGGTGCCCAGGCTAGTCCTGCTGGGTCTCACTGTCCTGGTTTCAGCTGAGGCAGAGTTAACTTTCTTCACAGTAGCTAGTAAGAGGCTATGTTTTGGATTTGTGCTGAGGAGAAGGCTGGTAACAGGGTCTCACTCTGGGTGGAGTTCTTGTTTGGCTGTAGGAGGAAGAGTGTGCTGCCAGCAGTGCTCCAGTTCAAAGGTGCAACTGCTTCACCAAGTGGAGTCTCAGTGCCAACTCCAGGTGCCTGCTCTGGGCAGACAGGGGTGCCAGGAAGACCGTTTTGTCTATCCTGTTGGCAGAAAGAATGTTGGGGCTGGCCCATCAAGCTCACAGGCATTTCAGGCTGCTGCTTGGAGTCAGATGATGGGTTGCCAGACAGGAGCTGTTCTACTTATATGCTTGCAATTCCAAGCTAGGAAGCCTCTCCACTTGCTTTTCCAGCCCTTTCAGTGATGGACAGATGTGAGCCATGAAAGACTTACATGCTTGTGCAGCTACCCTGCTGCTTTTCTGGTGTATCACTTCATATTCCACATACCATTTGAGGAGTATTCAGTATCAGTGAGTTAGCTTATCAGCTTCACACATATCAAACAGCTCCATTAACTACTATAACTTTTATTGGAAATAATGGGTATTTTCCTCACATGGTCCAAACTGAGCAGAGAGGTAAATGTGGAAGCCCTCTTTAGATCATTATCTACCTTGAGTGTGCCTGGATGCATGTTAGTGAATCTCATCTACTTGTAAGAGAAAATCCCAATACCTAGCAGTGTTGAAGGAAAAAAAGAGGTTTGGAAATTTCTCTATGTCCTATCAACCAAAATACTAGGAAATTTAATGCTAATTTCTTCAGGACTGAGATGACTGTTATAGCCTCAATTGTAGGGTTGCAGCAATAGCAGTCAGTTGACTGGGCAAAGCTAAAGACAGCAAAACTACTGAATTTTTTTCTTTCGCTTCCTATTTCTGAACCTTTAGGGACTACTTTGAAAGATGAGGGCTAAATAGAAACTCAATTAGGAAAAAAGCATTAAACCCAATGTAGCCACTTGATTTCAGGAGCTGATGTAAAATTCCCAAACAGAACAGTATGTGTTAGATTACAAATTTAAATTTCAAAAAGTCTTATGGTCATACCAAGAGGGAAAGGAATAGGAAAGAGAGGGAGATAGGTCCAGGATGAGACAATAAAATAAGTGGCAAAAATATTCAAATAAACTGTAGATAAGCTGGGTTGTACTTTCATGCATACTCACAGCCTTCAGTTAATTAACAGCTCCATGTCTAATCTTTTATTCGCCCTGATATACTAACATGAAATAAGAGAAATGGAAATGCCAAAAAACTCGACTATCTAATAAAACTACGACCTAAGCTGTAAACATATAAGCTGAAGAAAAAGAAAGAGGACATAAAATAAGAATTAGTTATAAAAGATAAAAGCACATCATGCATTCTTCCAACATAATAATATATCAAATTCATAAAAAGGTAGAATCAAAATGTGGTTGCCCACATACAACAAAAACAAAACAGATGATGAAGTATCAGGATTTCAAAAAGATACCTCTGATCTTTCAGTTACAAGAGTACTTCAAATGTTTAGAGATTTTTAGCTTGGCAAGAAAAGCCACCAGTGTAATATACATACACATATTTTTTCAATGCTGCAGTTTACTGAAACTCTTTAGTGTTAATAAATAAGTTGACAGAGCTCAGATAATTTTATGACACTTCCCAGCTACAACAAAATATTGATTTCATAATACAGTCTATGGTTGAGAAAGAAAACCAGAAACAGCATTTCTACAATGAAAAGTGAATCGATGCATTTCAAAATTGTATTGACTTCTCTAAGGGCAATCAAATCATGAGCAAACAATAGTTAGCCTAGTGATTTAGCTTAATTGTCACAGTGTAACAAGGACCAGAATTTTGGCACTAGTCTTCCAGAAGAATGCTAAAAGTAATTTTTACATGTTCTTAAGTACCATATACCATTCTCTTTAGATTTTATATTTACAGCTGCTATTTAAAAATTCAACAACCCCATTGAGGATTCTGTCTTTAAAATCTGTCATGCAGCTTTACAACATTCTACTCCATTTGACTAGGGACAGAAATATCTTTTTGCTCATCAAATAAAATGTTACTTCATGCTGGTCAAAAAAAACACAAACCCTACTACAAAGACAACTTTCATGCATATATGCATATTAAACAATCATTATTGATTGCTTCTGGTAAGACTATATGCTGATGCTATGTAATAGTTTAAATAAAATGTTGTAAACTTCAGACACACTTTATTTATATTTATAAGGAAGTAAATTGTCACAGAATTAGAAATTTTTCCAAATATTTTGAAAGAGAAACATCAGGTCCTGTACAAATGTTGACAGACAGAAGTATAAGTTTCCATTTACTGGCTAACTGTTATAGTTGTTATAGGAAATACAGCTCTTGTATGTGGTCATACAAATGAGACAGTAATTCTTAAAGAGAGCAACAGGACCAGTCCCATGACGGACACTGAATATGAAGATAAACTTCTTAATTTGGGCTTTCTATTCAGGTCACTGTGGAGAGAGCAGCTTGGAGGTGATCTGTTATTGATGAATTAATGGTAACGTTCATTATTTTCAAGAAAATAAACCAATAAAAATAGGAGGACAGGAAGATTGACTGCAACACAGGTATTTGCTAAAAGAGAAAAAATATATCCTGTCACCACCACGAACTCTATTTCCTATTAGCTAATTCAGAGAAGGGTACAAGGAAATGTCATCTAAAAAGAGAGGAACATGAGGACAAAAAAGTAGGATTGTTACTAATAAGCTTACAGGAACATTAATTTAAAAATAAACAAACAAACCAACCCACCCTTCTAAAATGAGGCAAGAAAAAAGAAAAGCTCCTAATGGAAGTGACACGTGTCCACAAGAAGAGAGGAAAACCACAATCATTTGCTATTTTGTGGACTTGGCACACCACCAAGAGTCTTGGGTGAAATACTGAACACACTTCAGAGAGATTAAATTAACATTGTTTCATAATCCAAATTCATTTCATTTTCTGCGTTTTGCCTCTCCCCTTAGTCCTGTGGCAACCCCTTCCTGGAGTTACTACACTACTGATGCAACACCAGTTGAAAACAGAGGTAAATAAGTTTTCTTTAGTCAACAGCCTGTAGGCTCACAAAATTGAACCTGTTCTTTTATCTGCCTATGTTCATTTAGCCCACCAAGCAGTCTTTATTAAAGCTGAGGCATCAGGCAGTCAAAGTTCATTAATACCATTTATATAATCTCTGCAGATTCAATTAACTCAGCAAGACATTCTACTACATGATAACAGTCTCATTAATTCAATAAAATCCCATAACTATTAACAATATGGTCTATGTTAAACGGGGTGTCACCTAGTAGAAAATAATAGCTTTAACAGCTTGTGATGAAACTCAGGGCTTTTCTTTTTTTTAAAATTTGATCTGGCTAAATATTCCATCCTTATGTAGATAGGTATTATTTCTTGGTAAGGAATCAAGAGGATTTTAAATATGAGCAGAGGGTAATTAAGTCCTTTTAAGTCATATCAAAGACTAAAATAATACTTCTTTTTCAATAAATGATAGACTAAATTAGCTGGAATGTGTTTTTCCATTTTCCCATCATCAGTACTCTGGCCTATATCGACTAGAAAGGGGAGGCTCAATATTGCTAAAGTGTTTTCTCTAGCAGTGCCCTTCAAAATACAGCTCACAAATCTCATTTTTTCTTGTTCTCATGCAAGACTATTTCTTGCTCAGTCTGTCAAACATGAGAAATAACCAGGTGACAGAGATTTCCTATGTTTGATAACTATATATTTGATTTTGGTATAATCTGTAAGACAGTTCTTCAGCAGTAACCATTCCTTCAACTCATGTGTTATTTTTTTCATGAAACACCACTGATTTCCTATCTTGAGGACAGGGTGGTCACAGACCATGCCTGAAAGCACATAGTGTCTTATAAAAATCTTCACATTTACTGAACCTTTGTATTTTTGTCATGAAAAATTTTCTACCTAAAGCTTGCTGATCTATAGTTTGTCCACGTACACGGTATTCCTCAGTTTGTCAATCCCTACTTGCCCTACAGTTAATAGCTCGAAGAAACAAACACAAACATACTTATGTCGATATCTCTGCATATTCGTCTTGCTATACTAATTTACTATCAAGCTTATACTCACTTCAAAACCTTCAGAACAAATGTTAAATTAATTTAGCCTGCATCCCACATGGATGCATAGTTAGTGAAACTTTAAGGCTTTCTTCACCATTTTATCAAAAATGGTTTGAGCAGGCTGTCCTGGTAACACTGTAAAAGTGGTATTTGTAGCACCCTTAACCTCCAGCCAAGAGGCAGTTGTCAGCTGCTTTGTATTTGTATGCTGCAGGGTTAGATAAAGGATCTTGTTCACTGCCGTAGCACGGCTTTAGTGCTTTGAGGAAGAACTTAAGATAATACATAAAACTTAAAATAGCAACTTTGCCTACATTTCAGAAGTCCCTATTTATGCTTTTTGTTTATTCAGTACCATTTTTAATCCTGCCGCAAGCTTTCTTTCTTTACCTAAGGACAGAAAATTTTTCTTATTCGTTCTTTTTTTTTTTCTTTCTTACCAACACCGAAGAAAAATATGATGTTTACTAAGAAATTTGAAGTTATACAACTGAGCAACCTTAAAGAAAACAATTTGAGGGCCTGTCTTATGAGGAAAAAGCGTATGTTATTCAATGAGCTCTTTTTCTGACAAGCAGCTCTTTGATTACTTTAGCATTATGATACAACTTTGGGTACAACAGAACTACATTATTGTCAAACCGTATAGAAAATGTTGCATCAATGAACGCCACCTGTACAGTATTTGCATTACCTGTTTATAAAGCAACTGCTCATTTTCTCTGGCGTAGCAGAACAGAACATCTGTAAGAATTTTCCTCACATTCTCTTGTTGGAAATACTGCATTTCAGGAAAGCTGAAAATTAAGACATACAGCGAAAGTAAACAATATAGCTCACAGAATCTCAGTCACTGGTCTTTTACAAACAGTTTCAGGTAAGACAGCACCTCCCTTGTCTGCTTTCCCACCGCTCTGTGAATTGTGGGGGCTGCTAGAGTAAGAATACTTCTAAAGTCTTGTTATTTTTGTTTTGCGACTAAAATTCTGAACAATGTTCTTTAATATACATCAGTCCATTTTACAGATATGATGATATCAACAGTTATATTTAATGAAGTAATCCCTTTTAATATTATGAAAACTAAAGATCTGCAAGAATGAAATACAATGGCAGACTGTTTTAATCGTCAACTTCTTACAAACAGCCAATCCTCTGAAAATGAATGACTTGGAGAATCTAATCCAAATAAAACAATGTACTAGATGAGTATGTTCCCAACTGCCTAAAAAATCAAGTTCCTTTGCTCCTTCATGTCATGAAAACAAGCCGAGCTGAAGCAGAATGAAAGGAGACAGAAAGAGAAGCAACGGCTGAAACAAAGATCTACCCTATCCCTCCTGCACACAGACTCTTACCGCTAAACCTAGCAGCCCAGAAGATCATTCTGGTCCCAGGTGCACAGCATGCCAATAGTAACTTAACTCCAAGACCGTGCTCCACTGATTGTCAGTCCTGCACCAATGAATCCAAAACTTGCTAGGAATGCTTAGAAAAGGAGTGAGACAAAAAAAACCAAGCAGACTCTTCTCCCATCAAAAACCCAAGTCTGTTCAAACTAAAACCATTGCAAACAATTAATCTGTTGATTAATTTGATTCAGGTACTGGAAAAATAAGCACTGAAGATCAAATCTCCACAGACAAAAACCAGACTTTATATTACATGCTCCCATTTTTTAAAAATCTGTGTTAGGTTGGCAGCTGTACCTGGATCATTATTCTGCCCTGCAATTTCATGAATAGGGCTTAACCCTGCTCTTCATTTTTCTCAAGATAAAAGTTGGGCAAAGGAAGAGTACAAGAGCTACAATATGTTAAGGAAGTCTGTAAAATTTCCAGTTCTAAACTGGAATAAAATGGAAGAAAGAAGAATATGTCAGAAGAAGCATATACACAAAGGTTCAACATTTCAAGAACATCTGAAAAATGATTAGCATTTTAATGACAGGATCAATAAAATATCTCATAACTGATAGGAGAACCAGTATCCTAAGCTCCTATATGCTGTGGATGCCCCATTCCTGGAGGCATTCAAGGCCAGGCTGGATGGGGCCCTGGGCAGCCTGCTCTAGTGGTTGGCAATCCTGCCCACAGCAGGGGGGTTGAAACTGGATGATCGTTAAGGTCCCTTTCAACCCAGGCCATTCTATGATTCTATGATCCTATGATATGGCATCTTTTGTGATGCAACAAAATTAGGCATTTCACCATCTTTAGTAGCTGTCTCAAATAAACTTTAAAATTATGAAATCATTTGATACTCTGGCAGGGCAAATGTCCCCTAAGTGAAATAAAATGAAGTGGAACTAGTGTCAGAATAAGGGAAAAAAGCTTCAGTGAAAATCCCATTATCTGTGTATAATCCAGGAAAATGTAAATATTTACAACCTGTAATTATTCTGAAGCAACTCTCACCTGTGCATCCTGCCCCTTGACTGTTGGAAGTAGGAAATAAAGTGCTTATGCAGGATGCACTTTAATGAATAAGTGCATAAATATAGGTGTTTTCATGCTTGCTGAAGAAGCAACTAGGTGGCAAAAAATATTTCCTAAAGCAACCACCCCATCCACATCCAGCTATGCAGAGCAATAACAAATAAATAAAAGAAATCTGGATGGTATGATACTAAAAAGAAAGGAAAAGGACAAAGAAAAACAGCAGAATTCTTAAAAAAGACAACAAGGGTAGGCCTTGGGCTAGTTTGCTGAAGTAAGTGCTATAGTACTGTCAGTTTTCAAAATAAATCACATGGATTGCAGGCAAGTTTTCTACAAGTAAATTCTGTTTTCCTGCTTCCCAAGTCTGAGCTACAATGATATACTCTAGACTAGTTCTATTACGACTGTTGTAAAGCCTGTCATTGAGAAACAATACAGAGAATTATAATAAATTACTTCAGATAAGACTATTTGTGTTAATAAATACTGTGGTCATCTCACAGAGGTGATGACAGGTAAGCACAGAAACACAACAAATTAAGGCTAGCAAGGTGCTTTAAAATCCTTTGATGAAGGACCTGAATCAAGAGCCAAGGCAGAGAAGATATGGTGGCTTAAACGCAGCAATGCTGAAGTCCTGAGAAAGGCCTTGGGATGGGCGGTGTAACATTTTCCTGGCACCTGGTGGGGGTCATGGTAGACCAACATTTGGAACCTTGTATGCACTTGTACTAATCGTATTACTGTAAAGGAAGGACACAGCTGAGACCAAAAGTGCATTACAGCAGATGGCAATCGACATAATTTAGAGGTTTGAAGAGATTATTTCTGAAGGGCTGTTATTCAGGCCTGCCCTAGGAAGTTTAGGAAGAGAAGACTAACAAAGAAAACTCAAAAATACACAGAGATATCTGTGAGGATCTCGTAATACCAGAGATTGTGACAGAAAGGATAATAACGAACTCAGAAATAAGCTGACTGAAGTATTAATTATAGTAAATGTAAATACAAGAGGTCATGAGGGAATGATCAGTTCAGGATGGATTTTTACGGAGAATGTCATTTTATGATTAAAGCACTGTTTTAGAAATACAGTATGTCAAATGAGGCAAGGTAAGAACACTTTTAATGAATACTAGAATACTACATTTAATTACTTTTCAGAGAAAGATTGCATAAGGACATGGGAATTTGCCAGACTGTTTTACCACAGCTGATACGATTAAACAATGGTGCATTCAAATCCCTGCTTTCTGAAAGTGAAGACCAGTGTGAATTAGTTTTTGTTTTTTAAAACATACCTTTAGCCCATTAAGGGGCCCCAACACCAGTGGCAAGCAAACCTTGACACAGAAGAAACATAGACTAACAATCAAATAAAAGGATGCACAAATACTTTATAAAACAAATTTGGTGGCAGATAGAAACCCACAGCCATAGAGAGACAACCTTTCCTTTCATTAACAGATTCCATCTCCTGACAGTGCTCAAGCATGCTACTCAGCGGGAATGTGGAAAGTTACTAAATCAGAAAAAATTGAATATGGTCTTGCAACAGCAAAGGTTTGTTAAAGAACGCCTGACTGTTGCTCACTTTTTTCTTGAAAAGGAATAAACTGGTGTATAAACATAGCTCTCCCTTCCAGCAGTCCCTCCTCTTACATGGAAACTACATTTTGTCTCATGCGTTCATACTCAATACTTCCCATCTCTTCTACATGCTTAGGAAGGATGTAGCTGCCTAATGGCTTCTCCACTACCTTTTCTACGTTTTTTTTTTTTTTTTTTGTTGTTCTTTTTTGTTGTTGTTGCTATTTGGGAGATGGAGAATTTGAAACAGCAGCACCCACCACCACTCATCCTCACACTGCTTCCATTGTCCTAAATTGTGACTGTTATTCCTGAAGCAGAAACCAGGTAGACCAATATATAAAAATACTACTACAAAAGAAAATAAATCCACTTGATTAGTCTACTGGGAATGCTGCTTAAGTTCTTTGTTTTCTTAAAATACTGGAGAGAGAAAGAGGGTAATAAAATCTAGGCATTTACAATCCTGTATGTACAAGCTGATGCCAGCAAGTAGACTGGTATTTTTATTTGACTGGTAGCTAGATGCTCTTGCATCTGCCAATCTGCTGATTTCCATTTCTGCAGAGTATTTTTATAAATTCTTCTTTATCACTTACCTTCTTAATCATCACAAAATAAATCAGCATTGTTCCTTAGTAGATCTTTTGAATGACATTAACTAATGATTTCATTCTTAAGCCTGTTATGAGTTACTATGGTGCTTGTTCATACACACCTTTCTTTCTTAGTAGAATAATAGAATGCAGTATTATAGTCATAACTTGGTTGGTACTGCTATCTACATTTCAAGTAAGGCTTCTTCTTGCATTATAGCAAACCACCCTCACTGTCCTTCTTGCCCTCATGTTTAGAAATTTCTCACTTGAGACAGAAAGAGAGGGTGTTGGGTTCCAGCTCAAAAGCACGTTTCTAGACAGCTGAAGGAAAATCCATTCCAAACCACTCAACTACCATAAAAAAATAAGTAAGGTGATTACTTAGAAATGTTGATCAGTAACTTAACAAAATCTTTCCCCACTTCCCCTGTAAATATTTGAAGTTCTTATTATGCAACAGGCAAAAAAATTACAGTTAGACACTATGGGTTGGATTACTCTCAACTGACTTCAAGTGACATCATTTTAGTCAGGTACAGGGGAGCTAGAAGCCCTTCATAATAACTGAAAAAACCCTATACTTCTCTACAACGTGATTCATCAGACTTAAGCTAGACATTTACATTAAGAAGAGATTATTTATGTCCTGGAATTCTTCAGGTACATAGACTCTAAAGGATGATTAGCCCAGTTGTGAACATTTTTGTTTCACAAGGTGAGATGAGGATTCACAAAATGCCTGTGAACGCACGCACACACAAACAAACTTTATCACAGTTCCCCTTAGGTAAGAGAATTCTGAAATTTAAAACAATTTAAACCAAACCCAATTTTTAAAGCATATTTCTACACAGTTTTCCCATCTATTATGACTACAGTTCAGAGAATTCTAATAAGAACATTATAGACTAAATTTTTTACTGCTTTTATAGATGGACTCTGTGTGGTTTGACACTCTGTGTGCAGTTAGCATCACTCTCTACAGCATTATTTACGTGATGCTGTTGGGATGATGGAGTACTGAACTTAATGACAAAGAATGTAAAAATATTTGATAAATCAGAAACAGAAGCTAGAAGGTAATGATTATGGTAACTCAATATAATACTCAATTATTTTAACCTTTAATAAAAAGCATTGTAAGTTAATGACAAATCTTTAAATTGTAACTCCAGGAATTTATTTAAAGAATGGAAATTAAAAGGAAAACATCAAAGAAAGGGTATTTACATTCCAAAGCCAAGGAATGTAGAACTTATTGCTTCTTCCACTAGTGATAGTTTACAAACAGATATCTATGTATACATAAAGTGCACACTATGTTTTACGATTAGGAAAACAAGTATATATATAAATGCAGGTAGTTTATCACACAAATTCATGTTACTTTGAGAGATTTTGGTCTTTCATTATCACTTATTTATCACTTATTTTGATATCTACGACACATACCTTATGCTGCTATTGTTTCAAAAATACATTATTTTGTATAAATACATAAATGGAAATTTCTTTAGGCACTGTTACTGATATCAGTGAATATTACTCACTCTGCCATATACCAGAGTGAGAGCCTGGACTTTGTGTATAGATATATATTTTAAATAACAGTTTTACATCCAATATAACCTCCATATAACTTCTCATTCTCCAATTATAGTTTAGACATGTATATATTTTAATTTTAGAACATCCTGAACTGTTTCCTTTAACAAACAAAAAATACCATCTGTGAGAACGCACATGAAAGCATACTCAGATTTTAATTATACATCTCATGGCAAAATGCATTCAACAATGGGTCTAGGGATGGACATTTAAAATATTCCAAAACCAGAGAGCAATGATTTCTTCTGCATGACTTTCTTTCTGTAAATGAAAATATGTGAGCTTGGGATTCATAAAATCTATGACTATCACCACTTTTTTCAAGTTATAAGGAAAAATATTTGCAATACAGTAAAATTTCACATGGTAGCAAACCAGTAATTGAACTCAATGCTTCCACTCTGAAAACAAATGTTTTCAGGAACTGACTGTTCTAATTCAAACAAGTTA